CATTGATTAAATAATTGATTTGCTTAGTTTCGGACAGGCGCAGTGTAAAAATATGTCAAGGATTAAGAAATTGACGTGCCTGCAACTCCTTTCACACGGAAATGGTTTTTTAATGAGGAGTTTTACACGCAATTAAGAAGGTTAACACTTTGAGGACATTTCAAAGCTTTCCAACGATATGTAGTTAAGTGAGGATTACGGTAGAAAGTCGTCGAAAAAGGATTCTCTTCGTTCTGGGAAGTACCGCTAGTTAAACTGTAATACACCTGTTAAAGGCATTAACATTCTTGGAGAACAACGGCTTGCTGACTCATCATCATAACAAATTGCTTTAGTTAGATCGTATGTTTACATTTACTATGCATCGATTTAAGGCCCGTATGAAAGATCGCTTAAACAAAACTTATGAAAGGAAATGAAATGAAATAGTTTATTCAGTACATAGGCCCTTTCCAGGGCACTTATACTCGTCCCAAATATAGCTTTCCCTACCACCACTTCGGGACAACATATGGGCTGGTGCTGAGAAGAAGTGGCGAAAGAAACTCAGACCTTTGTTAAACAATAACAAAACTTAGGTTCGTTTCATACGATCCCAAAATTTTTCGGCGTTAATTAAGTAAATAAGAATAAATCAACACGATACAGTAAATTAATGAATTTCTAGATGTGTAGGACGAAGTATTAGGAGTGAAATCCAAGTTTCAATCCGCCAATCAACCTAATGGACGCAGGTTTGTCTTTCGTCTTTTTACGAAGGTGTTGCCATCGTTGCACATCACACCATCTTCGACATTTATTTGATCTTTTCGACGTTTTTAGATAGAATCCAAGAATGAATGAGAGAAGCGGGGTATTACCAAGTTTCTATCTAGAATTCTAGAGCTTCCAGCTAATATTGCTCCGGTTCTAAGTTCAAACAGAACTTTAAGCTGGGCATTATTTATTCATTGACAATCACAGTCTAGCCGCGTTCGATTCCATTCTGATAGTTTCAACGTTATTGCATCGAAGCTGCATTACATTTTGACGACTTTTTCTAGATTCCTTAGCGATAGCGATTTTTATCTTAAATTTAGAAATATGCTACGGAATGGATGGAAAAGCGAATTATGCCGCAAAATCGGTTTTGTAAAGGCTTATTCGCGCTCGACTTGGCGGGGGCACTGCCGTGCCCCCAGATTTTTACTTCGCCCAACAAATGGTTACCACCAAATCGAGGTCGTTTTGCGAGCCTATCGTATCTTCCAACTTGCGTGTAAATAGACACGATGAAAAAAATCTGGAACCGCCAATATTGTTTTATTACCTGACGGCATGAAAATGATGGATGCAAAAAATTTAAACCTACCTCCTAAATGAAATTGTTATTGGGCATTTTTCTGGTCGGTATTCAGTACTTACAGGCGGAGGTGTAACCATGTAAGTCATCGTTTAAAACTCATTACAATGAAGAAACCAGAACGATATGAGTGTGTATCGATCGACATTCTTGTCTCAGGATAGTTTTATGTCCTTCTTCATAACAGAGCCAAGTAGGTAGGTAATTAAGATCGCAATTAGCTAAATAATACGAGTTTGCTCGCCTGTGGTCAAGGCTAACTGAAAAAGCGGTATTTTAGTTCAACTCTACATAGGGGGTAAGAATATAATAAGACCTGGTTCAGACACAGCGATTATCACGCGGTTTCTGGACAGTTCTCGTAGGTACCTACATTCGCATCAAACCCGTAACTGCACGGTTACCGCCTCAGTGCCACGGCAATAAGAACCATGGGTGTCTGGACCAGACTTGAATGTGCTGAAAACATTAAACACCGCGAACATTCGCGAACCGCGTAATTCGCGTTAAATGAGAACACGGCTTTAGATGGACGGGCTTTAATCGGCGACTTATCCGAGTTAAAGCTACCATACAGGTCCAGGCATTTTAGAAACCTATTGGACCAGTCGGTACCTACCTACAATGATATTATTTGCTGAGGTTTCATATGTTAATTAGGGTCTTTTCAACTGCCTAAATAGATATGTTACGCCATTTTAAAGGCGTGTGGGTTTGTTAATTATCTAATTAGTGTTCTATCTTACTTAATTGAGAAAATATTTGAAAAAATCCTACTTAATTTTTTAGACAAAGAACATTATTTTTACAAAAATTTCAAAGATTTTCTTGCGCTGTAATGAAAAAATATGTTTCATTAAACAAAATAGGATATAATACAATTTAATTACTGTTAGAAATCTACATTTTACTGCTGCCCCAATCTACGGTATTAAATAAGAGAAAATAAGGTCAAAACAGGTGTGTTTTCTAATAAAAACTTATAAGATTTAACTCTCGTAAATAGATCAACCTGCTTGTTTACTCATTCCAGTTAAATTAAAGTGTTTAATTACAAGAAGGCACCCGACACGGCTGCATTAGGGAGAACTGTATATCACTAGGGCTGAGGACGCATTGGGGCCGACGGCGGAGCCCTAACAACCATAAATACTCTCCGCCGCCGCACACCGTCCATCAGTCGACGTTAACGCAGCAATGAAATAAACTACACAAATAAACCATTACCGAAACGTAAATAAACCCCTAAATGCACCCACTGGACGTAAATACCATCCACAAAAAGACAAAACAACACTATCCTTGAAGGCACGGCAAAATGAAAGTTGTTCCTATTTCAATTGAAATTCTTAACATAATCGCTTCCTCATGCAAATAACTACGTTTCAACTGTCGTTTATAGTAAAAAGCGGGTAAATCCACCGACCGATCGATATCAAAAAGGCAATAATAAGTAAAGAACTCACCTCTAGCGTATGTAAACAAATGGAAACAGGCGACTAAGAAAATCCAGTTACCGATACCAAACCGGCATATCCCTGTCCGACACATTGTGCAAATCACTACAACAACACTACACAATAGGGTTTAATTCATCGCTATTACATTTTCACATAAAATTCACGAGTAATTAGCGTAATCATTTTACACTGCTATTATCGAGGCGACATTGAACCGTCCGCCATTTTCACGACACCGCTCCGTTCGGAAACACAACTCAATAATGAAAGGGCAATGCCCGGGACAAAATGTGACGTAAACGAACTTCGCGGCCATTTGAGGGTTGAATAGTGAAGTTAGGTACAGAAGTAGTGTGGTGAAGTCTCGATTTTCGATTCAATTTGTACTCAACTAACTCTCTCTCTACATTAGATTCATTTATCAACTTGTTGCAACAAGATTATATAAAAAAATATCATGGTATTTATAATTTGAAGTTAATTACTTATGAGAAATATAAAAAATTGGTTATATCCCAACTAAATTAATTGCATTTTGTGTGAGTAACAAAACGCTAAATGTCAAATAACTCTGAGTTGCATGTTTATAAATTTCTCCCTTCGCTTAGGGAAAAAAGTACGCTGTTTAAGCCAAATAAAGAATATCAAAACTTCAAAAGTTTTCTGCAAAAGTAATTTGGTAAAAAAATTACTTGAGCATCAAAAATATAAAAGTTACAAGATAAGGTGAATAAATTATAAAAAACACTCAAGCAAGTTGGAACTCTAAAAAAAGATGGTGTTGTTAAAAATATCCTTGAATTATTTGTTTTGTTGATAATTTACTATAAAAACTTTGTCCAGCAGTGGACGTGTTTCGGCTGAAACTAACGAACGAACGAACCATTAAAGGGTATTTCGCCGAAACAGTAAATTTTCTGTGTCCAGGCAGGCGAACACATGTTTTTTTATATCTATACGTATAAAACTATTTTTATGGGAAAGTTCATCAAAAGTTTTATTTGTTTTTGCTATTACAATAGCAGATACTACAAATAATAGCGTAGAAAAACTTAATCAAAAGTCGTTTTTCTAATTTCCTTGTTATGTCCATTACTGTTGTTTGCCAAAATGAAGGCACACTATAACAAATTGAAGCGTAATTTCATTCTAATAGCACTCTGTTTATATTTGAGAAACGTTTGGCTATCGGAAAATACAAAGATTAAATGTCAAATACTTAAAGGAAGGAAATAAAGTGAAGTTAAGTTCTTGTCCGAGTCAAAAGTATAATTTCCCTGGGTCTTCATTTCGACCATTGTAGTAACGAAACGAAAGAACTTAGAATGTAATGCACTGCACCGTTACACTCGGCCATTTCGTCCCAAAAGGCCATCGAGGCAGGACAGTACTACGTTGACCAGTTTCGCCACAAATCGCATAAGTAGGTCCTCCTTGGGTTTTTGTTTACTAAAAAGTCAATTTCTTTGGACGGCTTTTTGCAACTAAACAATGGATTAATTTTATTGTTTATTTACACAGATGTAGTGTCTGTAAATAGTAAATGCATAGGGTAAATAGGTTTTTGTCTGTGGTGTCTTTTAGGCATAAATCTAATTTCTTTGGCTCTAATTTCCTTGTTTTCCGTGGCATAAAATGGCCTAGGAAATTATAAAAGACCATTTTTAATTCGGCGTAAAGTAAAATTTTGGGTATTTCTTTATTGGAATAAGTTTAAAATTGACATTTTAATAAATGGGTATCATAATAGATATAGAACAACTTGTTTTTAACTCTAAACTCAATCTACTGCATTTATCTTCCTTATTTGTGTAAAAAGGTCGTAATGATACAATATTTATTGCTATGTTGGCTTGCAAAGGTACACAAAAATGGGTCGAACAAAAAAAAGCAAATCACAGAAGAAAACTTAGAGAAAAAAATATTTATAATAATTTCCTTGGCTACCAAAAGTTCATGACCTTATAACTTTGTTACTAAAACGAATTATGACACCCCTTTTAGATATATTAGCTTAGTTTTTGCTACTTAATGCAATAGGAAACTAAAAATAGTTAAAAACAAAAAAATATTTCGTACCAAGGAAATTAGGCAAAATTGACCATTTTTGGCGAAATACCCTAAAACATTAATTTTTACATTGTAAATAGATTAAACATAAATTTAATGCTGAAAAACGTTTTAAAGTGTGTCAACCCTAAATTTGACATGAGACAAGTTTTGGTTGCGTTCGAAGAAAGAAGCAAACAGAATCGTTTTTCGGGTTTATTTGAACTATTTACGAACTCTTAAATAACCGAAAATAAAGGAAATAATCTATCTGTCAACAGGAAAATTTTAATTCATCATGGAATTAATATATTCCATGAGGCGAAAGCCGCTAAAATGTGAACCACCTCACTTCGAAAGGTAATATTTATTTATGCTTAGTACTTATAATTCCTTAAAATTTTTACGAATAAAGTAACGTTGCTGCTTACTATTTCTGAATACCTTCCTGAAAAGGCTTGATGCCAACGTTTGACCTCTCGAATATGTTTTTTCAGTCCCACAAGCCCAGAAGTGGTTCGCCCTATTTGCACGATATCTTCGTGTAATATCATCGCGTTTTCGTCCCCAACGGAGTTGTCTGACGTGGATGGAGACACCTGGGGCGGCCATGTGTACGTGTGTGACCTGGACACGCCGTGGGACAGCCACAAAGTCACTAGTACTGCACATCCTGTGAGTTTTGTATTATCTTTACTCTGTCGTCGCCATTCTATACACAACACTCAATCAGTTATTGCTTTCATCATGAATTTAAAACTAGAACACTATGGGCCAGGAAGGGCATGTATTTTGTCATAGTAGTGTCTATAGGAAACACACAGTATGTATATTCGCCCTGGTTTTTGTTATGCATATTCAATACTCAATACTCATATCTTTATTGCATTTCATAGTGTACATTAGGTCTTAAATATACAACGTGTCCCAAAATTCAAGGATAAGCCGGCGCCGCAGGGTGGACCTAGTCATGACTGCTTTAGGAAAAATAAGAAAAAAAATCTATCTCAATTATTTTTTAAGTTACACAATAAATTATGAAATTCGTCGAAAATTGACACCCCTTATGGTATTTTACATTACCACGACTACAATTTTTCAAATACTTCAGTTTTTTTGTTTGTACCGGCAACTTAAGTAGTGCTGCTGTCCACCCCAATTCTTAAAACCCTCAGAATCCTTGCAGTTTTTACACAAAAGTTAATCAAAATATGATATTTCCTTAAAATTTTCAACGATTTTTACTTACACTCCACTTTGAGTCGTCGTTTTGTAAAAAAACAGTATGAACACTACTGCGGCAAGTTTTTTATAAAGTTGACGCAACTATCCAAGATTCCGAAATGGTATAATATACTAAGAAAACTAGTCGCAAAAAAGATATGCGTACCATTTTTACAAGCACTTCGCTTGTTAGTCAGTATGGGATAAATCTTGCAACTGAATTTAAAACCAGTTCTCCTTAACCAATTGAGCTGAAATTTGGTATACTTGTGTAAGTACGATGACAATGCAATATTATGGTACCATTGAGCTGGATGGAGTATGGAGGTGGCCATAGGAACTCTTAACGAAACGGTGGAATTACATCTAGATTGGGTTCGTTGGACTTGTCTTTTCGAGCACTTTAGTGCTAGATGATGTTCAGGGTCCTGATGATGAAGTCAAGAGGTGGCAGGAGCTGGCCATAGGAACTCCTAAACGAAACGGCGGAAGCTTATCGAGTTTGGGTTCGTTGGATTTGTCTTCCCGAGCACTTAGGCCATGAGATTGAGAAACAACTAAAAAGCTTAAAATAAAGTTGTAATAAAAAAAACTTATTTAAAAACAAGCTTGACTTCGTTTGAAAATTATAATTGACTTCATCATCAGGACCCTGGACATCATCTAGCACTAAAGTGCTCGAAAAGACAAATCCAACGAACCCAAACTCGATAAGCTTCCGCCGTTTCGTTTAGGAGTTCCTATGGCCAGCTCCTGCCACCTCTTGACTTCATCATCAGGACCCTGAACATCGTCTAGCACTAAAGTGCTCGAAAAGACAAGTCCAACGAACCCAAACTAGATGTAATTCCGCCGTTTCGTTAAGAGTTCCTATGGCCACCTCCATACTCCATCCAGCTCAATGGTACCATAATATTGCATTGTCATCGTACTTACACAAGTATACCAAATTTCAGCTCAATTGGTTAAGGAGAACTGGTTTTAAATTCAGTTGCAAGATTTATCTCATACTAACTTACAAGCGAAATGCTTGTAAAAATGGTACGCATATCTTTTTTGCGACTAGTTTTCTTAGAGTATTATACCATTTCGGAATCTTGGATAGTTGCGTCAACTTTATAAAAAACTTGCCGCAGTAGTGTTCATACTGTTTTTTTACAAAACGACGAGTCAAAGTGGAGTGTAAGTAAAAATCGTTCAAAATTTTAAGGAAATATCATATTTTGATTAACTTTTGTGTAAAAACTGCAAGGATTCTGAGGGTTTTAAGAATTGGGGTGGACAGCAGCACTACTTAAGTTGCCGATACAAACAAAAAAACTGAAGTATTTGAAAAATTGTAGTCGTGGTAATGTAAAATACCATAAGGGGTGTCAATTTTCGACGAATTTCATAATTTATTGTGTAACTTAAAAAATAATTGAGATAGATTTTTTTTCTTATTTTTCCTAAAGCAGTCATGACTAGGTCCACCCTGCGGCGCCGGCTTATCCTTGAATTTTGGGACACGTTGTATAATTGGATCACCGTGAACCCTGTCGGGCACAACAACAATGGAGAGGAGGAATTAAAAAAAATAATTATAATTATTGTATTAAACTAGATTCTTAAATATTATTTAATAAGAATAAATATTAAATTATTGTATCCAGTGTATTATTATATTATAACTAATATAATATTACTGTAATATATATTTTATTATAGGTTATGTAATTTGTTTTAATATTATATTTGTTTTAGATATTTAATTTAATTTGTTTTGCACATATTCTAAGGTCGCGGGAAGAGCCTGGATGCGGGCAGCGCAGGACCGTTCATTGTGGAAAACCTTGGGGGAGGCCTTTGTCCAGCAGTGGACGTCATTTGGCTGAAACGATATTCTATTTGATATTTGATTCTCTCCGCTATCATTCCTTGTATAGTTTGGCAGATATGTTAGTGCTAAGGTAGAGTGATGGGAGTTCAAGACACCTATTTAGGTACAGTTACAGTACATAGAATACTACTTATTTATTATGTAACTTTTTCTTGGCCACACTGTATTCATCTCAATCAAGTGTGCCACCTTATTAAAATGATGTATACCCAGAGCACTCACAGATCATTGCAAATAAGTGGGTCATTGTCTGAGTGTAGCTGCCAGTCTGAATTTCTGTAATTCCATTTTATTTATATATTACATTTATCCCAACTTAATAATATTATAAATGCGAAAGTAACTCTGTCTGTCTGTTACGCTTTCCCGCTTAAACCTCGCAACCGATTTTGATGAAATTTGGCATAGAGATAGTTTGAGTCCCGGGAAAGAACATAGGATAGTTTTTATCCCGGTTTTTGAAACAGGGACGCGCGCGATAAAGTTTTTCTGTGACAGACAAAATTCCAGCTAGTTTTTATATAACTGTTATATTTTTGAAAAGTAGCATTGGCGTATCTCGGGTACTTTTCCAACTTGGGGCCTGGCCCCTGACATGCCATGTGACGGGGGGTACGATTAGTATCATAGCTCATAATAATAAATATTTTTAAGTAACATTTGAAACCAATCCTGTAGCCCAATATACTAGGGGCATCAGACCATTCTGGGGGGTGCATGATAAGTATTGTCTTAAATCCTAAGATGGTGTTATGCATCTACTCACATCCTTTATCCCTGTTCCAGATTTCCGCCCTGGAGTGGGACAATGAAGGCAAGCACCTCCTCGTGGGGACAACCTCGGGCGAGGTGTCAGTGTTCGGGCAGAAGGACTACCTTCTGAATGAGTGGACCTGCCTCTATAGTGCCAGCTTTCCAGGTAAAATTTTAAAATTTTGATGCATTTGTTTCACCAGACCTGTGCTTTCTGGCATGTAAAGGCCAGAGAATGCTAATCTGTTTTCTTCAGTCACAAAATTATTTGTCAAATGAAGATTTTAATAATGAATGTTTTCGAACAGTGAGACATCAAATGATGAGTGTGGAGGATTGGTGTACTCAAATATTGAATGTTGTTGATTAATTAATTGAATTTTTGTCGTATATCAGGCGAGCACATCGTGAAGGCAGCGTTCTTCCACAACGGGCGGCGCGTGGTGGCTTGCGAGAAGAAGCCAGACGCGCCTATCGCGGACAGATTCCAAGTGCTTCGGTCAACTCCCACGCTTAAGGGATTCGGGTAAGATAATCTTCTGTACTGTTAGCGAAATTAGTTCATGACACCCAAAGTGGACAAAAAGTTGATAACACATCGACACATTCCAATTTATAATAAAGACGTGTTGCCAATTGACTTTTTGTTTACTTTGGGTGTTGTAAATGACGACGAATGATGATGACTTTTTACTTTTCTGGCTAGAATTTTTAATTAATGAGGGTTTAGAATTTTTAATTTTTGACATGAAATTGACAGACCAATTCCACCAATCCACCAATCATGCAGCATTTGGTTGGACCTCCCGTCTACGTATTGCCATCTGGCGGATTTTTCAATCGCGAACACCCTCATTGAAATTAATTCATGTCCTATAGCTATAGACCATATGGGTCCCACACTAGTGTCTTTCAAGCGTGATCATAACGTCGTATCACCACGTCTCATATCGCCAGCGCCTGCCCACACAAACTCTCTTTAAACTAAATACCGCGATGCCAATGCTGAGCGGTTGTTGAACGCCGTATCTAGACAGCGCTGGCCTAACGACGATGCATGAAAAACGCTAGTTATACTCGACGCAAAGAGTCGTGGTAGACGGGACCAACCATGAATCACTTTTGAAAAAAAACATGCTTATGCGCAAAAAGGACAATGTTCGTTCTCCATACATTGTTCGCCTAAGAACCAACAATTTTGACATATTACTACCCGAAAGCGAAATAATACGATTCTGTGTGTAAGAACAATGATTCCTGATGAACACTTGCCATAAAATTAATGATTAAGAATATTAAATCACAGCGATTTTATAATATGTCGTTTATGACAACATGGCGTCTAATGTATTGTGTGAATGTATGAACACTGATTCGCGAAAAATGTTTTGTATTGTCGTCACGCCGAGTCGCAGCCAAATAGTATAAAATAATAGAACAAGTTTTAGAAATNTAATCGATTTATTTTATTTTCAAAATCGATATTTTATTGTCTATGATGGCCGCAGGAACATCACTATACATGGACTCCCAGCAATAAAGTACGGTAATGCCTCGTACAGATTTTATCGGCAAAAATAATGGAACTTGATAGGTTTTAGACCATGCCACGCACCAAAACGTCCGGAAGTTGTAATAGTATTATAGAATAAACGTTAAAAGACTTATTTATTTAATTTTTCAATGCTTAAGTGTCCATTAGAATGAAAGGGTGCTTAATGTATTAAAAAAAATAGAAAATAATTATGATGGGTTAATGTTTTTGGGCGGTTTTTTAGGCGGTTTCTGACAATGTCCTTTATTGATTATTACGTTACAAATAATGATCATCCCTATCTCTGTGTGACGTCACTCATAACCAGTGTATATGCAAGGGCAACCGTGATAAACGCTATCTTATTCGTCTTCCATTAGTCGATATACATACGCTGTCTTATTATTTCACCATCTGTCACAAGTCCTTGCGCCGAGTATAGTATGGAGGGGTCCCTACCCTAGTAGCTTCGTACTTTAACATTCGCTATTTGTTTTTCAAGAACATAATCTTAGACTTCACGTTGATGCATGTACCACTAATTATGGACGCAATTCCTTCTTTAACAGAGTTTTCAAAACTTTTGACAGCAATTATTCTGAAAATTTTGACCTTTTTCGGCCGTTTGGTGTAGTGGTTCGAAACGGACTACTATTCCGGAGGTTGCGGGTTCGATTCCCGCACAGTACAAACATTTGTGTGCATGAACATATTTGTTTGTATTGGACTGGGTGTTTTCTATGTATAATATGTAGGTATGTATTTACAAAAAAAAAAAAGTATTTAAGTATGTTTATATCCGTCGTCTAGTACCCATAGTACAAGCTTTGCTTAGTTTGGGACTAGAGGCGCAGTGTAAAATGTCCAAGGATATTTATTTATTTATTTATTTATTTTCATATTGTGAGACCAAACTACTTCAAAAATCAAAGTAATAAAGAATTCTTTGGCGACACTACTTAGCATTGTCCCGGTAAAAAGTTGAAGTATCTGTTTACTGCTTAATATTCTGCTATTTTGGTATGGCTTTAGTAGGTAATATTTTCTGTATTGTTTTAACTTTTTTCATATATTGTAGTTATACTGCATGCTAAATGGTTTTGTTTTGGATTGTATCTTGATATGCTATTTGTGAAAACTATGTAAGGCATTTTTGATCTTAACCGCCTCATCTATTAATAATACATACATATATGCTGTTTGTTTTCCATAAAATAAATAAATAAATAAATAAAATAAATATATAACTCTTTTTCCCAGAGGAGTGGCGTGCGAAGGCGCCGCCATAATAACAGCTACGGGCCTGGTGTGCGCGCTCACGCCGCCCGCAGACGGCTCGCGCGCGCTCGTGGCCGCCGAGTCGCTGCGGGCCGCGCGCGAGCACATCGCGGCGGCCAGTGTCGCGCACAAGAGTGAGTCACTGATACACTAAGACAGTGTTTTTCAACCTTTTTCATGACGCGACCCCCCTAGCATGAAAAAAATTTTTGCGACCCCCCGACCATTCCCTTTTTTTCATGCCTTTTACAAAGATGTTGTAGGGAACGAATTCTTCAATCTATACAACATGTATGTATTTGCATAATTAGATTTCGGATAAATCTAGCTTTTAAACTTCTCTGGTTTTTTTACTGAGGTAGTTTTTACGACCTCCCCCCAGGGGGTCGCGACCCACAGGTTGAAAAACACTGCACTAAGAGCTAGTGAACGCCAGACCTACGTCATTTTATAAAAGCTCAAAGTTTGTCAGCGTATGCTCCCAATATAGGATAGAATGTGGGTGAATTATGAAGTTTGCTTACGTTTTACCATTAAATCTGATTTTTATGCATAATATTTGGACAATACTTAAAAGTATTTTCCCCAACAGCCAGAGAGTTTTGACAGTTCCAACTCCTTGCCAGACAGTTTTTTAGGGTAGCTCCCAAAGCCACCATGACCCAAACTACATAACTCACCAAAATTCTATCCTATATTGGCAGCATACGCTGACAAACTTTCAGCTATTATAAAATGACATAGGTCTGGCGTTCACTAGCTCTTAGTCTATGAGCAGTGGCCATATGACAGCCACGGGCCTACTGTGTGCGCTCACTCCGCCCGCCGAGGGCTGAGAAATATTCCTTCAGATACGTGGTGGCTGGTTCATTTATTGATTATTGGTACAAAACAGTAAAATAATCCTGACCACCACTAACTCACGAATGACATCCAGTGTCATCCAAAATAGGTTTCGTTTGACAGCTCGTGGTTGTGCTCTATTCCGTCGGCTATATTAAGTCGGCCGTTTGGTGTAGTGGTTCGAAACGGACAACTATTCCGGAGGTAGCGGGTTCGATTCCCGCACAGTACAAACATTTGTGTGCATGAACATATCGCACCCTTAATAATATAGGGGCACAACTCAAAATTTTTGGTTTTTTACTTTTTGTACTAGAGAGGCATATTTTCGTCAGTTCTACAAGATGGCTTTCACAGAAATCGAAAACAATGATCAGATTAAAGAGTTCTACATTTTGTGCCCCTTCCATACTTTCATCTATCTTCCCGCTAGAAGGGCTGAATCAGAGACATGCCGATATTTGTCGAATCCGGCCCCCGCGACTGTGGTCCAATTTGGAGTTGTGCCTTTGTGTGACAAACTTTTAAGTAAGTGTTAGTGAGCTAAGTCTAATTAATTCCATATATTTCTAATAATATGTTACATTTTCATTTTTATTACATTGATAAAGTCCCGTTAATCATAGAAAATTATAAAATATAACTTTAACTTTAGTTAGGCGGACCATGGATGGGTGTTTGTAGTTAAATTTATAACTCTCCTATAAAAGTAATTTGCTTCTTGGTATTAATTTTCATACCTATTGGTTGATTAGGAGCCTATAGAATGTTTTATCGCGATGCTAAGAAATAAAGCGGTGGTTATGAAATACTTCCCGACAAATAAACTAATGATTTATAAAATAAGAGACATACCTACGTGTTAAGGCTATTAACGTTCGCTCGGGGCTCGGGTTGGCTTTTTTCTTTGTTTATTTCATGAATAAACGCACTAGTCAGCCAAAAGGTGAATTACTTTAATATGTTAGTGTTATAATTTATAATTATATTCTTTAATTTATTACGGTCACATAAATTGATGCTAATTAATCACTCAGATTCTGAGGACTGAGGATACATCGAATTTATTTTAAAATTATCTTTTCACGTATTAAGTTACTACAATTTTACTGATCAGCTATTAGACCTTGAAATTTTCAGTTTGTCTAAATTTAAGTTCTAAAGTGCTTTTTGTCTTAAAAATGTGAGTTCGTAATGTAATCTTGTGTTAACACCAGTTTTTATTAATATGTGGCAAATATTGTACACAAAAGCAAAGAAAAAAGATCACGGAGTTTGTGATAACAAACCAAGCATACTCTGGGATAAAAATTGTACAAAATAATAAATATTGGGTGTCCAATATCGTCGTAAACCTTGTGTACCTAGACTCTTTGCAATACTGAAGTCAAGCAGGACGTAAAGGGCTTCTATTTGGAGGGCCAAAGATATGTATTGAGCTTTCTAATCACTAAAATGATCAAAAGCAAAATGATGATGAGTACGGAAAAATTAAAAGCAGCTATCTTCGATGGACTGCAAATCCGTGCTCTTATAAAAGACTGTATTTGTAAACCATATAACACAAATTGAATCTGAAGCATGGCTAAGGTGCTTTAGTAGTAAAATATTTTTTGGGGAATGTTAGAACACCAGAATAGATATTCTTGTGTTCAAAATTGGTTGCTAAAATCCTTCAAAAATTACACACGCCAATTTGAGTATTAAATTGTATTTTTTACAATAGCCATTTGAACTGATTCCCACATAATGTGGGTGATTATAGTAAGGGACAAGGAGAACGGTTCCTTCCACCAGGACAGCAGGATAGTGGAAAAAAGATACCAAGGTACTGGCTGTTGGACTTTAATAAGTGATTATCCTGAACAAATCCATAACAGAAAACCTTACAGAAAAAGTTTTTGTAGGTTTTTTCTTGATTTGATAAAAAGCATATTTTTTATAGGGTAAGAGTCCCTATCTATCTAAGTAAAAATATTTTGAATGCATAAAATTAGTATTTTCATGTCGGTTTTCTCAGAGAAATAGCTAATAGTCTTTATTTTAATCTAATTCGACATATCTAATAATTTTCTAGTATTCAGCACCCTACTCTTATACTGAATTGGCTATAAGCTACTATACCGCACAATAACTGTCCCCAATGTTATTGGGCGTAAATCAATATAAAAATCGAATAATACACTTATTTTTAAATATTAGAGAGCAATATTAGGGAATATGCCATATAAAACAATTCAGCCTAAGGATTAGATGGGCACAAGTACAAGTAATACCCAAAATCACAACAACAGAAATAGTAAAATAAAGGCCTAACTTTGAAATATTTTTTTGAACAATTTTTTTAAATACTCATAATCAATATTTTCAAAAATGTCTTATGTCAAATTATATAACAGATACCAGTGATGAAGTATGCCTAATTTGAAAGTTGTAGCTGATAAAATAAAGATTTTAGAGCCAATTATGTAAAAAACCGCGATCTGCCGATTGGTTTTTTGGCTTTTCCCAAAAAACTGAATTTTGGAGTTGTGCCCATTCATTATTAAGGGTGCGATATTTGTTTGTATTGGACTGGGCGTTTTCTATGTATAATAAGTATGTATTTACAAAAAAAAAGTATTTAAGTATGTTTATATCCGTTGTCTAGTACCCATAGTACAAGCTTTGCTTAGTTTGGGACTAGAAGCGCAGTGTAAAATGTCCAAGGATATTTATTTATTTATTCCGAAGGAATATTAACGTTATGGCGGTGTCGGAGATGTGGCCATATGACAGCCCAGGCACGTGGCTGGTGACCGCGCTTATATCGCGGCGGCCAGTATCACGCACAAGAGTGCCTGTGTTCTGGGACATCAAACTCTTGTAATGTGGGGACCAAGGACATGGAATGAAAGATGTTAATTGGTCGACGATCGGTTTAATACTAAAGCCTGGTCCGTGAGCACGTAGAATTTTGTCCAATGACCCCAAGCTACCCATCCTTATCGGACAAAATTTTACGTGCTCACGGACCAAGCTTTAGTCTTAAAATGACTTACAGCTAACTTATAAGTATAACTATGCCTTGCACTAAGTCGGTATTGAGGAGAGGTGCGTCATACACTACACTCTCCAAAATTGAAGTCCAGGTGTTTTTTGGTGTACCGACTTTTGAAAATTCTCTATTTTTGTCTTATTAAATAGCTTTGTGTAAAATGTCCAATGTTTCTTTTCATTATTTTTACCAAACAAGCCTTTCTTAAACCATTGTTTGCCCCACCAGACGGGAACCTCCTCATAGCAGCGGTGTGCCGCTCGGCCGGCGCGTGGTGCGTGCGCGTCAGCGTGTGCTGCGCCGCGCCCCCCGCGCGCCCCGCGCCCGCCCCGGCGCCCCCCCGTCTTCAGTTACAACCTCTGCCTGCCCTGTGTCTACCTGAGTCGTCTACACCACCCGGTTGGTATATCTGGATGATATTCTGATTTTGCTCGCTCCATACGCGTATCATGACTTCACTAGAGTGTCTAAGAGGATTTCATTGGAGGCCAAATGCCAAATTGTATACAATCACTGCTCTGTTTTGTGTCTACCTGAAGCTTCTACACCGCCTGGTTGGTATACATGGATGAATTTTCGTAGTTGCAGTAACATTACTAGTTGGATTTTTGTCTGCCCGAGGCATCTAACCCCCATGGTAACTTATTGTTTCTGCACCCCCCCCCCCGCCTGCAGCTGCAGCCGTTACCTGCGCTGTGTCTACCAGAGTCGTCTACACCACCCGGTTGGTAATTATCTGGATGATATTCTCGTAGTTGCAGTAACATTATTAGTTGGGTTCCTTTCTGCCCGAGGCATCTTTCCCACCTGATAAGTAATTTTTGCGCGCCTTACGACCGCACCCGCGCCCCCCGCCTGCAGCTGCAGCCGTTACCTGCCCTATGTCTACCAGAGTCGTCTACACCACCCGGTTGGTATACATGGATGATGTGCTTGTAGTTACATACGAGTAAGCATAACATTACTGGTTGGGTGACTGGATGATATAGCCGTAGTTGCTATAACATCACTGGTTAGGTTTTTGTCTGCCCAATGTGTCTAGTCCGCATGGTAAGTAATTGTTTGCGCGCCCTACGGCCGCTCCCGTGCCCCCTGCATACAGCTGCAACCATTGCCTACGCTGTGTCTGCAAGAAGCGTATACATGGATGATGTTGTAGTAGCCGCATACACTTAACATAACGTTCGTTCACTTCATTCACGTTCATAAGTGCCACTTGTGGTCTAAACTGAATAAATATTTTTGATTTTGATTTTACACTGACTACTTACATCTTACATATGCACCAACAGATTTTATTATTCCTATCGTATATTTTATTCTTAGAAATCTTTACCGTACCTTGAAAAAATATTAATCCCTCTCAACTTACAACTTTTATTGCAGTGTCCATAACCTGGTGCCTGCGTGAGGACACAGACTCGCTCCTTGTGGCGGGCTCCAACCTTACTCTTTGGAAACTGACCGAGAGATCGCATCCAGTCCACAAACTATTCTCTAAAGGTAATATCAAAGCAGAGAAAGACAGTGAGGTTTGAAGTTGGTTCAAAGATTTCTAAAGGCTAAGCGTATGTTTTATTTAAATGAAAAATGTTGACTTAGTTGAAAGATTTGTAAAGGCTATGTGTGTTTTAAATTAAATTGAAATGTTCACAGGTGCCTTACAAGGCAGCACTACTCCTGGTGGCGGCCCGAAACCATCCACAGACTGTTTCAATACGGTGGTAAGTAGATGTTTAATGAAAGTGACTATGTTTCGTGATTATATGCGCGTCTTTAAAAATTTCAAAAAGAGACTAAGGTTTTAAGCTTTTTCCGCCACTTATCCTCAGCATATGATGTCCCGAAGTGGTGGTAGGGCAAGCTATATTCGGGACGTGTATAAGTGCATGTGTGTGAAAGGGCATGTAGGTACTGAAATAAACTATTTCACTTCCTTTTACTTCGAGACCGTGATGCAACTCAACACAGCGCCATCTATTGACAGTCAGGCGAACTAAAGTGACTTAAGACATACGGAACGTAACTAATGAAGGTTTTCGCGATTGAAAAATCCGCCAGGTGGCAATACGTAGACGGGAGGTCCAAATGCTGCATGATTGGTTATTTTTGACATGACATTGACAGATATGTCAAAATCCACCAATCATGCAGCATTTGGACCTCCCTTCTACGTATTGCCATCTGGCGGATTTTTCAATCGCGAAAACCCTCATTGACTGGATATTTACCAACTGGAGACTTAACAATTTTATTCTTACAGTAGGTTTTTATTTTTAGGTATGGCAACAAACAGCAATATGGCCTATCGAGGGCGGCTCAACCGCGGTGCAGGCGGCGAGCTCCCGGCTGGCGCTGGCGCCGCCACACGCTGTGCTCGCCACGCCCGACGCACTGCATCTGCTGCATAGGGACACGCACCACTACGTAAGTGACGGACGCACAGTGCCCGGCAGATGGCGAGCTCCCGGCTGGCGCTGGCGCCGCCACACGCTGTGCTGGCAACGCCTGACGCACTGCATCTGCTGCACAGGGACACGCACCACTATGTAAGTGACGGACGCACAATGCCCGGCAGGGGGCGGCTCTCGGCTGCTGGCCACGCCCGAAGCGTTGCATCTGCTGCACAGGGACACGCACCACTATGTAAGTGACGGACGCACAGTGCCCGGCAGGAGGCGGCTCTTGGCTGCTGGCCACGCCCGACGCACTGCATCTGCTGCACAGGGACACGCACCACTATGTGAGTGACGGACGCACAGTGCCCGGCAGGACGCGGCTCTTAGCTGCTGGCCACGCCCGACGCACTGCATCTGCTGCACAGGGACACGCACCACTACGTGAGTGACGGACGCACAGTGCCCGGCAGGAGGCGGCTCTCGGCTGCTGGCCACGTCCGACGCACTGCATCTACTGCACAGGGACACACACCACTATGTAAGTGACGGACGCACAGTGGCCGGCAGGGGGCGTACTACTACTGGTAGTGAGAATGGTGATTGGTAGTACCACGTATTAAAGAGCAGTTTTGCCGTCTTTGATGGTTGTCGACAAAGGATGTGCAGAAGACCTCCTAATGCACGCCGCGATAAACTTTTTCGCTCATTGGTCGTTAAAATCATCGACAATAAGACACAGCGTGTATCCTAGCCCGGCTGGACGCCTTTTAGTGACGATTTGCGAAATATTGCTAGCAGACATCATACTTAGTGGTGAGGTGAAAAAATTACTTCTTGTCAGCAATGGTCGGCACTTTGTGTAACCAAACCTGTACTTCCCCGAAATTAACATCAGACCCTCATCCTAACCCAAATCTTGTTCTATTATAACAGTTTGTTTCTGGACGTCATTTGGCTGAAACAGACGAACGAACGAATAGTTTGTTTACACCTAACAAAATTATTCCTACTTTCAGATTTGCTCGCGCAACGTGATCTCCCGCACGGGCGCCGTTGAAGTACCAGCGGGCGCGGGGACTCCGCCCAAGAAGCCCAAATATGGCCCCGGGGCGGTGCCGGTACGTTTGTAGTCTTATCAGTGGTTGTAACAGTTACAGCTTCACTTTTACAACCGTAACCTCAAATAAGTTGTCACAACAGGAGTGACGTCACAATGATGATGTAACAAGTTTCGTTTCAAGAAAATTTTAATTATTTAAAAAATAACATTGTTTTAAATATAAATAATGTATGAAAAATGTCACTATTGATGTACGGGCTAACCGCACATTTCTTACTTGACCTAGTTTAAAATTAGCTAAGTTAGCTTTACGTCATTGCTCGTCACTATGCGTTACAATATTGGTGAATTCAATAAATCAGTGTACGTTCAACACTCGTCGGGTTTGGTTATAGCTCTCCTCGGAGTCACCAACTCACCACCCCTTCAGCGGCCCTTAGCGAATCCTTCATGTGTGGTTTACTACCGCTAAAATGGAACTACAGTGTTCTCGCTTAAAACAGGCTCTAAAGTTTTCGGCACAGTTTAGCTGCTTAATATTCTATTTTCGACCAAACCCATTGTATTTGCATTGACCATTGTTGAGGATGATAAATATTACTTGCAGAGCGGTTCCCCGTGCGCCCAGCTCTCGTGGGTAGAGATATCGCAGCTGGGCGGTGTGTGCGTGTGTATCGACACGCACGCTTGTTTACACGTGCTCCGCCTGCCGCTGTGGCCCGATATCCGTGAGTGTGCCCCACAGTGGCCCACAGTGGCCCCCATTACTTGCAGAGCGGTTCCCCGTGCGCCCAGGCCTGCACGTGCTGCGCCTGCCGCTGTGGCCCGATATACGTGAGTGTTGTGCCCCACAGTGACCCACAGTGGCCCCCATTGATTGCAGAGCGGTTCGCGCCCAGCTCTCGTGGGTGGAGATAACGCAGCTGGGCGGTGTGTGCGTGTGTATCGACACGCACGCTTGTTTACACGTGCTCCGTCTGCCGCTGTGGCCCGATATACGTGAGTGTTGTGCCCCACAGTGGCCCACAGTGGCCCCCATTACTTGCAGAGCGGTTCCCCGTGCGCCCAGGCCTGCACGTGCTCCGTCTGCCGCTGTGGCCCGATATCCGTGAGTGTTG